AACCAGAGCAATGACTGCCAGGGCGTGGGAGCAGGGAGAGCAGCAGAGGTGGACAGTGACCACTAATGGACATGAGGTCACGAATTGCTCTGGAACTAGAGAGTGGGGACGGTCACATGACTCTGTGGCAAGACTAAAGTGGCCTGAAGTACATTTCGAAAGCATCACATGTATCGTTTTGGCTTTTTGAGACGACTTTATTATGTAACTAAAGCCAGTCTCAAGCATGCCATCCTCCTGCCTCAGCCTCTTGTGTGCTGGAGTTACTAGTGTGCACTACCACATCCAGTTAAAAATATATTTTTAAAATAAATATGCCCAGAAAAGGAAGCAGCAGAAGTCTGTAGGGGGTAAAAGAGAAGGTGGTGGGGTGGTAGGTGACATAGAATGACACACATGTATGGGAATGCCACACTGTTTTCATTATTTTACACAGTGAGTACATGCTATTAATAGATGAAGGAAATGAAAACATAGAATGGCCTAAATGTTGTCTATGGGTGTCAGTGAAGCTTGGTAGTGGGGTGTCTGTCAGTTTAGAGCCTCAGCAAAGTTGGCTTTCTTGTCATGTGTTCCGGTTCCTCTCCTCCCTCTTCCTTCCTCTCTCTCTTTTAATATCTGTTCCTCTCCTTTCACAGTCCTCTTTCTACTCTCATGGTATATACATACACACATACATATACACGCACAAACATATACACACATGAACACAATACATACATGCACACACATGCATATGAACACACACATACACACATGCATACATACACATGTATACAGACACACATTATGGTTATTTGAAAGAAAATGGCCCCATTAGGGAGTGGCACTATTAGGAGGTGTGGCATTTAGGTTTTCTGGCTATGACAAATAATGCTGCTATGAACGTAGTTGAGCACATGTCCTTGTGGAACAATTGAGCATCCTTTGGATATATACCCAAAAGTGGTATTATGGGTCTTGAGGAAGGTTGTTTCCTAATTTTATGAGAAATTGTCACCCTGACATCCAAAGGAGCTGTACCAGCTTGCATTCCCACCAGCAATGGAGGAGTGTTCCCTTTTCCCCACAACCTCTCCAGCATAAGTTGTCATCAGTGTTTTTGATCTTGGTCATTCTTACAGGTATAGGATGGAATCTGAGTTGTTTCGATTTACACTTCTCTGATGACTAAGGATGTTGAGCATTTCCTTAAGTGTCTTTCAGCCAATTTAGATTTCTCTGTTGAGGGTTCTCTGTTTAGGTCTGTACTCCATTTTTATTGCATTATTTGTTCTTTTGATGATCAATTTCTTAAGTTCTTTGTATATATTTTGGAGATCAGACCTCTGTCTTATGTCAGGTTGGTAAAGATCTTTTCCCATTCTATAGGCTGTCTTTTTGTCCTGTTGACTGTGTCCTTTGCTTTGCAGAAGCTTTTCATTTTCAGGAGGCCCCATTTATTAACTGGTTCTCTCAATGTCTGTGCTATTGGGGTTATATTTAGGAAGTGGTCTCCTGTGCCAATTTGTTCAAGCGTTCTTCCCACTTTCTCTTCGATGAGGTTCAGTGTGGTTGGTTTTATGTTGAGGTCTTTGATCCATTTGGGCTTTAGTTTTGTGCAAGGAAATAGATACGACTCTATTTTCATTTTTCTACATGTTGACATCCAGTTATGCCAGCACCATTTGTTAAATATTCTTTCTTTTTTCCATTTGATATTTTTTGCTTCTTTGTCAACAATCAGGTGTTCAAAATTCTGTGGATTAATATCTGGGTCTTCAATTCGGTTCCACTGGTCCTCCTATCTGTTTTTATGCCAATATATCAGGCTGTTTTCAGTACTGTAGCTCTGTAGTAGAGTTTGAATTCAGGGATTGTGGTGCCTCCAGAAATTCTTATATTTTACAGGATTATTTTGGATATCCTGGGGTTTTTGCTTTTCCATATGAAATTGAGTACCATTCTTTTGAGTTCTGTGAAGAATTTTTCTAGGATTTTGATAGGCATTGCATTGAATCTGTAGATTGCTTTTGGTAAGAATGCCATTTTTACTATGTTAATTCTACCTACCCAAGAGCATGGGAGCATGGGAGCATGGGAGATCTTTCCACTTTCTGGTGTCTTCTTCAATTTCTTTCTCCAAAAATTTAAAGTTCTTTGCATACAAGTCTTCCACTTGTTTGGTTAGAGTTACTCTGTGATATTTTATGCTATTTGTGGCTATTGTAAAAGGTAATGTTTTTCTGATTTCTTTCTCAGCCTATTTATTATATGTGTACAGAAGGGCTACTGATTTTTTTGAGTTAATCTTGTATCCTGCTACATTACTGAAAGTGTTTATGAGTTGTAGAAGTTCCTTCGTAGAATTTTTGGGATCGGCTATGTAAACTATCATATCATCAGCAAACAGTGAGAGTCTGACTTCTTCTTTTCTGATCTGTATCCCCTTGAGCTCCCTTTGGTGTCTTATTGCTCTAGCTAGGACCTCAAGAACTATATTGAATGGATATGGAGAGAGTGTATAACCTTGTCTTGTTCCTCATTTCAGTGGGATCACTGTGAGTTTCTCTTCATGTAGTTTGATGTTGGCTGTTGTGTAGTGATGAGGTGAGCAGGCCTGCTTTTCATCCCGCCCAGCTGCCGCATGGCTAGCTTTACACCCCAAATAATAACACACAAACTGCATTCATTTAAACACTGCCTGGCCCATTACATCTAGCCTCATATTGGCTAACTCTCACATCTTGACTAACCCATATCTAATAATCTGTATGCCACCATGAGGTCTTGGCTTACCGGCATGAGTCTAGCCAGTGTCTGTCTTGGAAAGGGGAATCATGGCATCTGTCTGACTCTGCTTTTTTTCCCCAGTATTCTGTTCTGTCTACTCCACCTATCTAAGTTCTGCCCTATCAAAAAGCCAAGGCAGCTTTTTTTTTTCAGGGAGATCCTATTTATTTTATTTCCCAATTCTTGAGAGAAAGTGTAGTCATCCAGGACCAATAAGATGGATGAGGTAAAGTGCACGTATATAGAACTCAATTACAAAGTTTTTGTAGGTCCAGGTAGATGGTTTTGGGGGTAAAAGCCCTGATGCACAGTCTCTGGAATCCACAGTGGTAGAAGGAGAGAACTCACCTCCCCGAGCTGCCAAGGCAGCTTTTTATTAACCAATAAAAGTAACAAGTAAACAGAAGACCCTCCTACATCACTGTTGGATTGCTGTATGTTGCCTATATTGTGTTTAGGTGTGTTCCTTGTATACCTGCTTTCTCCAAGACCTTTATCATAAAGGGATGTTGTATTTTGTCAAAAGCTTTTCCAGCATCTAATGAGATAATCATGTGGTTTTTATTTGTCAGTTTGGTTACATGGTGGATTACATTGACAGATGTTTGTATGTTGAACCATCCCTGCATCTGTGGAATGAAGCTGACTTGATCATGGTGGATAATGATTCTGATGTGTTTTTGGATTCAATTTGCCAGTATTTTATTTAGCATTTTTGCATCAATGTTCATGAGTGAGATTGGTCTGTAATTCTCTTTCTTATGTGATTTTGTTTTGTGAAAATTCTGGGTCTGTAGTAAAACTTGGTCCACGATAACTAGGCAACCATAGTTTAATAGTACTGTGATGATTCTAGAATACTGTGTTAGAGAGATGACTGACAACCCACTCAGACTCACAGTATAGAAACAGGTGGCATTCTGGCCAGCAGATACAGGAAGGAGAAGAATGCCCCAAGGGATGCACAGTAGAGGAGTGGTATAGGAGCCGCCACTGCAAATGAAAAAATATTCATAAGATAGCCAAGGTCCTAAGTCCTGAGAAATTAGATTTTATATCAAGAGAACCATAATTAACTAATCAAAAAAATAAATTGAGTTAATTCTCACTAAACATATTCAGCTGAAGTATATAAAAAAGACAAATGCACAAGACTATGGGATCCTTTTCAGAATGGGCTGTAAGAAGAAAGACAAGAGTTAGGTATAGGGTGGGTGAAAAGTGCTTAGTGACCTGGGATGGCAACTCTGGCCCGTGGTAGCATTTGACTTCTTGTAGACTTTGTGTCTGTTGTCATGCTGTGAAGACAGAGTGTGGGGGATGATTGCACAGTCCTAGTGGGGAAGTCTGAAGGTAGACTCATTCATTTCTTAAATTTGTACATCTAACTAACGACTATATGTGGCATTTTCATTAGTCACCAAACACTAACGGCCTATGTACCAGGCACCATACCACTGATGAGACTGAAGAGTTGGACAGAGACCAGAGTTCTATAGCTTGGACCTGGACTGTCCCCTGTAACACACAGTCTTTATAGACAAGTTGACTGAAGCTAGAATCACCAGGTGACATATTTCTGGATAGTTCTGTGAGGCTGTTTCAAGAGAGGTTTAGGGGAAGGGGGAAGATCCATCCTGAATGCAGATGGCACCATCGTATGGTTGGGGTTCTAGATAAAATAAAAAGAGACAAGATGAAGCTAGCTGAGAACCAGAATTCATCCCTCTGTTTCCTGACTACGTATGCTGCATGATCAACCACCTCACAGTATAGATGCCATGCCTTCCCACCACAATGGATCCGACTGTTGCCTCCAACCACGAGCTGAAACAAACACTTCAGTTGCATTCTTCAAGTATTTTATCATAGCAAAATTCACTCTAAAATTAAATGTCATAACTAATTAAATTAACTCTTCCAAGTCACATATCCATAAGACTTGGTTTGGGGAGCTGGCAGAATCTTTAAGAGAGACCTAATCTTTAGGAGAGGAAGTTAGGTCATTGGAAGCCTGCCCTTAATGGGAACAATGGGACCCTGCTTTCCCTCTCTTTCCCCAGGGTGAATCATGCTAGGCAGGTGCTATACCCTGTTTATATTTTGCCAGCTCCCTCCTGGTTGATGATTAACTGATTGATTTTGACACAGGTTATTACTAATTTATCCAGGCCAGCCTTGAACTCAATCTGTCGACTAGGCAAACTCTGAATTTGTGGTCATCCTGCCTTACCTTACTGAGTAGCTGGAATAACAGGGCTGAACCACCAGACCCAGATTTCAAAATAAAAGAACATATGGAAAGACCAGTATGGAGGACGGGCAGGAGGGGAATGGGCAGCTTGCAGGTGAGAGGGCATGGCTTGAAATGGAACAGTAGGGAAAGAGCAGGAAATGGGCTGGTGTGAAGGATATACACACAGTAAGACTGGAGGGGGAGGGCATTATGGTGGGCAGAGCATGGGGGAGGGAAAGGTTGGAATCAGAGGGACGATCAGAAATGGTCCCTAGAGTGCTGGCTTCAGCAAGAAGACAGAACCTGAAGACGACAGGTGGTGAATTGTCATTACGGCTAAGCCCTTTCCTCTGGTGACATCTGCCTTCTGCTGCTAACAATCCAATTCTAGAGGGGAAGAGAGTTTCTAAACTAATTGGTGACCAGTAAGGGAAGACCCTTAGGTGAAATAACAGGAGCAATGTGAAAGTCTTGACCCAGTGATTGGCAGAAAGAAAGAGTCTGGATAGTTCAGGCTCAGAAAAATGTCTCTGTGTTACTAAGCCCCAAGCATCAACTACGACACCTTTTACTAGTGTTTCCTTCTGACATGTCCTTGCACACAGCACTGGCTAATGAAGATGGCCTGGTTTCAGTGCTCTTTGCCTTTTTTATTTTTTAATACTTTAGACTTTATGAACAGAAGCCAAGAAGGCCAACAAAAAGACCACATTCGGTCAGACAGGGATATTTACTGAGCTTGTCAATGTGGATTCTACTGCCATCCTGAAGAGGGCCAGGTCATTCTACTGCTGTCCTGAAGAAGTGAAGAACAAATTACTCCCAAGGAAAAATGCAGAAACCAAACTTCTTGGCAGTCTACATGATTGTATAGTCATCTAGGGAGAAACTGAGAGCACTGTTACTTTTCAGGAGTTCCCATGGGCAGAAACTGGGGAGATGGGTTTCAGCCTCAGCACCCCCTCCCCTCCTCTTCCCCACTTCCGGATCTCCATGAAGTTTGTAACGGACACACTACCAAGATAGGTCTACCTCATAACAGACCAGAAACAATAGAGGTAGCTGATGATGGCTGAAACCTTTGAAACCGTGAGCCAAAATAAATCTTTTCTCCTTAAACCTTTCTCCCATGTCACAGTGATGGAAAGAATAACACAGCTCTCCAGTGCCAATCGTTCCCATGGGAATCTAAAAGGAGCCTGTGCTTCTGGTGCTGGGGTATTCCTGTATCTTTGCCTGGCAGTGGAAGAACATCTGCTGAAATGGTTCGTCGGAACAAGCAGGCTAGCCTGGGCTCACCTCGGGTGTTACAAAATAGGTCAGCTGGTTCTCCTGGTAGCAAGGCAGTCCTGCATTGATAAGCAGTCCAGATGGGGCTGTGATAATCCCTGTCCTCTCGGTGTCTAAATCCTCTTCCTAGCAGGGAGGGAGCAAGGTAGAGTACAGCAAGCTTCTCTGATGAAAGGTCCTGCAGGCCAAGGGTGGTGATGAGTAGAGGGCCTCGGTCGGGTTGAAGGATTGGGTGAGCCTGCCCCTTGGGAGGGTGTGCACTCACCAAGAAGCAGGAGTAAGCCAATGGTGACAAGCCTAAGAAGAGTTCACAGCCACTCTGAAGTTGAAGAGGAGAGATAGGATGGGTGCTAAATGACAGCCCACATCATGGGGAGCCACTGAGGTGAGTGCTGTGGTCTAAGAGCTACGCATGATAATTATCTGGATAAATGATATGTTAGATCAGTCCGAGCTCTGCTGTGTAGGTGGGTTTGAAATGTCCCCAAAGGAGTGAGTGTTAAAGGCTTGCTTCTCAGCTCAGTGCTATTGGGAGGTTGTGGAACCTTTAAGAGGTGGAGCCTAAACGGAAGGCTTTAGATCACCAGGGATTACAGAAGCCTGGCCCTTTCCGCTTCTGTCTTTCATTTTGTGACTATGAGGTGAGTATTTTGCTCTGCCGTGTTCCCACCATGACGAGTTATCTTAGTACAGGCCCAGAGCAACAGAGTCACCAACCGTGGACTCTGAATTAGTGAATCAAAAATCCACCTTGTCTCTGTCTAGGTTGCCTCGGGTGTTTGGTTAATGCGCGTGGTTGGTGGTCTAGTTGCTTTTGTTTCTGTGATGATGAGATAAGGTGTGGGGGGGCATGGCAGAGGAGGCTGACTGGCAACATGTGGCTCTAGCTGAGCCTTGGATTTGATGTGGATGTTTGGTTTTGGAGAGAACCGTAGGTATTGCTTTACTAAGACCAGTATTTAATACTTGACAGTAATCATAGCTATTGCTTTGCCCTCCTATTCTATGCTTTTCTCTTTAGACAGGTTTCACAACAACTCAGACTGGCCTCAAACTCAAGATCTTCTTGCTTTGTTTGTTTGTACCTTAGTTTTAAAGATGTTTCCTAGGCTGGACCCAACTTCTGGGCTCCAGAAATCCTCTCTCCTTAGCTTCCCCAGTTACTGGGATTTCTGATGTATATCACCACATTTGGGCTATAATTTTCCTTTCATTTCCATGTGTCCAAACAAGAACTTCCCCAGGGCGAGCAGAACTCAGCACAGTGGATGGGCGCACAGCATCAAGCAGTTTGGCTAGGTACATTCGCAGCCTTTGGAAGACTTCAGGCTCAGCCCTTATTAGTGCTCCAAGGGACATTTGTGATCTTTTCCTGATATTCTAGGTCCATCTGAGTTTTGGAGGGTTGACCCCATCTTTGACTTGCAAGGGTGATATGAGGCAAAAACTGCCTCAGACACAGAGCCAGATGCCAAGGAAGTCTGACCATCCAGATCAAGCCAGCTGAAGCCAGTAGGAGTTAGTTCAAGGCCTTCTATTGCAGATGTTGGGGGGTTGTAAGGAGGGGGCCACTTGTTGGTTCCTGGCTGCTTAGCCCCAAAATAATCACACAGAAACTGGTATTAATTAAATCATTGCTTGGCCCATTAGCTCTTGCTTCTTATTGGCTAACTCTTACATATTAATTTAGTTGTTATGCTCAAACCCTAAGTTTGGCACATCTCAGCCCTATGTTGCCTCTAGTCTATAATGTGGGATTCCCCTCTGTATGCTGTGACTATCATTGGTTAATAAAGGTTAATATATCAGAGCTATAGGGAACAGAGCTAGGTGGAGTAAACTAAACAGAATGCTGGGAGAAAGTAGGCAGAGTCAGAGAGAAGCCATGGAGCCATCATCGGAGACAGACTGCTGAAACTTTGCTAGTAGGTCATGACCTCGAAGGGATGCACAGATTAATGGAGATGGGTTAAATTAATATGTAAGAGTTAGCCAATAAGAAGCAAGAGCTAATGGGCCAAGCAATGATTTAATTAATACCAGTTTCTGTGTGATTATTTCGGGGCTAAGCAGCCAGAAACCAACAAGCAGCTCCCTCCAACAAGTCTAATGCTTTTGATTTTATGATTTTATGGCACGCTTCCATTTATGCCCTTACCCTGTGTGATACTATGACGCACCAAGAAAAGTCAATTTGGTCTTCATTCCCAGGTCCTGGTACTGAGCTCCTAAAACCCCTTGGAATTTCCTGAGTGGAGGAGGTAAGTCTCTTTCAACCATGCCCCAGTGAAAGTCTTTAAGGATAGGAGCTGGTTGCTAAGAGAACCAACAAATGAGGCTTAGCACCTTCAGCCCTCTACTTCTTGGTCAATGATTTCATGAGTCAGGTCTATAGAATGTTCGAGATGCAATCTCGTTCCAGTTTGAATCTGAAATGTCCCCATGTACTCATGTTGGATACTATGTCCCAGATGGAAACTTTAGCTCCCTGATGCAACTCTGGGAGGTGGTGCCTCGCTGAAGGCTGCAGGTCACTGGAGCTGGACCTTCAGGTGTTTTTATCCCTGGATATTTCCAGTCACTTGCTGTTTTCCAGCCCACTGTAACATGAGCTGCCCTGCTCCATGGTCCCCTCCCTACCCTAGTGAGCTGAATCCCTCCGAAACCATGGGTCAAAATAAAACTTTCCTGTTATTTGTTTGTTTGTTTTTCAGGTATTGTGAGCAAAGGGATGTGGAAGCTAGCTAATATTCTTCATAAAGACCCTTAGACCACAGGCTTTGGAGAGCTTCCAGGTTGGTGAACAGAGGGACTGGGAGGGTAAAGACCCTAAGGAAACTCACCGCCCTTCCTGTGTACCTGACTCTATGGAACCCGTCCTTCTGGCTGTTCCTAGTTGTACCTTTTATAGTGAATCAGTAACCATGACCAAGCTTTCTACCCCAAGGAGGATGCAGGGAGCTTTTGATTTATAGCTAGTCTGTTGCAAGTTTGATAGGCCAGTATGAAACCTACAACCTTCAGTGACAACAGTTCTGTGGGGCCTGGGGGCGCATGCTACTTCTTGGAAGCCAGTGTGAAGATCACTTAAACTGTAGAACACAATTGGATGGTGTGGGAGAGGATTCCTTCCTACCCAGTTGGCATCAACCCTGAAGTGTGTGTGAATACAGAGAAAGGCATTTTTTGGGCTTTGGAATAAGATGTAACGATTCTGTTTTCTTTCTCTGTTTTCTCACTATGGCCCCCAAACACCCTTCAGTTCTTTCTGATTCAGCCTCCTTCACTGGTACCATGCCTCCTGCTAAGGCTTCCCCACACTATCCTTGACCTCTGAGCCTAGAGTCTAATGTAGCCACCCAACCCCCATGCTTACAGGAGGTGTGATTCCGCTGACAGCTGTTTGGAGTCTCTGTGTAGGGAAAGGAAGGGCGGGCTAGAGGAAGACTGGCGGGTGGAGGAGGCCTGGTCCTCCTCTCTCTCTGTAGGTGAAGTAGGTGAAGTGTGGGCACATCTGGCCTCTCCATGGCCTCCACGGGAAGGGTTGTGTTGGTGGCCTTGACCTTCTATTGTTTTTAAGCAGCTGTTAGCTGAACAAAAGACAAATGAAAACTTTCTGTGGTTGACATTGAAAAAATGGCTGGCATGTCAGATGGTAACTCATTAAGGAATTCCCATTCATCAAAACAATTCATTTTTGTTTGAAGAGGCGAAATAAGCCGTTTCTTGCTGGCTTCAGTGTCAGCCTCTCTGGTCACACGAGGCTCTGGTTTATTTGCAGTAATTTCTATTCTCAAATTCTAAGAGCTTTGGGGGCCTGTTTGGAATATCTTAAGTCAAATCCAACTGTTTTACTCAGATACGTCCATAGGAGCTCATTTTCCTCTATATTTTTTCCTTTACAATTCTAATCACTGAGACTGGCATTTAACATTAAAAGATGGGAAGGTACACACCAAGTGGGTTCTTTTTTTTTTTCTTCCAGAATTTGAAATATACCAAAGAATTTGAATCCATCACTGTACTGTGCATAGGAAAATGGTTTCCGGGTGGCTTTAAAATGCTTTCCTAATGAGAGGAATTGTTCAGAGTTTCTTAGAATCCTGAGCCCTAATTAAATTTTATAAATGTTCAGTTGTAAAATTTAAAATCTGTCACTAGAAAGCACATGTAGTTGGTGTTTGTAGCTGTGTTTGGTCAAGTGCCACAGAAATCCAACTCTATACCTCCCCCTTAACAGGTTTTCCCTCAAGACTCTTTGGTCAGGGTCATTTCCCAATGACTGGCCTTATATTTCTTATCTCCCAGGTTTAATCTTCAGGAAGTCCCCATTCTCCTTCCGTCCCCTGCAGCCTCACTCCTGCAAGCCCAGTTCCCTGTCAATCCCCTCAGTGCCGGCTCTCACCTGTCACTATTATCTTCCTTTCTCCCTGGGTAGATCAGGGAGAGCTCAAAACCCTGGCTGAGGTCAGGTGAGCATTTCAGTGTGCCAGCAAACCAGGAACAATGAGAAACAAGCAAAGGCTTGCACCAGAGCCGTGGGAAACGGGAAACAGGACTGTCGGGAGGAAGAAGGCAACCTCTGCTCACCTCCACCCTGGGCTCCAGGAAAGATTTCCAAACTGGAATCACCAGACCTCACTTCCAAGAGAAGCCAGCGCTTTAGACTTTAGTATAAAATCTCTCCGTTTTAGAAACCGCAGTTCTTCAAAACCTTGAAGATTAGCATCCTCCAAGCTGACGACTATCCCATCGCGCTAGGGAATTCTTTACTTGGGTGTTAACATTTACTAATTGTTGAGATACTGATCTCCATCCCTCCGTGTGCTTGTCCAGGGATCTTGCAAGTTAACTCCTCATGTTGGGAAGCCTGCTGCTCTTCAAATGGCCTCTCCAGGCACAGAACCAGAGCTCCTGGGGAAGCAAGCAGAGTAAATGGCTGCAAGTTTCTCTGGGTGTGATGGTTTTCTTTGACCTCATGTCAGGGTCAGGAGGTCAAGGAAAGGTAAGTAAAAAAACAAAAACCCCCACATCCGTGAACAATGAACATTCACATGCAGGGACAGAGAGGGAAAGGGAGAGAGAGAGAGAGAGAGAGAGAGAGAGAGAGAGAGAGAGAGAGAGAACCACACCCATACACCCATGCACATTCACATTCAACCACACACACACACATGCATGCATGTATGCACACACACACATGCATGTATGCACACACACACACATGCATGAAGGGGTGCACGCACACATGCACGCACACACTATTTCCTGGCTCATTTTCTTCTCCTCACCTGCTCTTGATGCTCATTTTCACCTGTACAAAACATACCCTCTGTCTAGGGTTTCCAGTGCCGTGAACAGGGGTAAAGGAAGGGTATTCTCAGTTCTGCCCTCCCCGCACCAACGTCAGCTGGCCACTCCAGCAGGGCACGGAGACAAGCCAGGGCAGCTACTCTAGCCAGCCCCTGGAAGCTCCGGAGAGGGTAGGATTGGCTCATCCCAGGTAATGTTTTCCCTGGGGCCCTGGATCAGGCTGATGCCCTTGGCCTGTTTACCCCGAGTACCCTCCTAATGCCGGCTATCATCCCTAGGGCTCCCAGGAGGAGCCGACATCTCACTCACCCAAGCCCTTCTGCTGCCGTACTGTCCCAGTTTCCAAAAGTCTGGAGGAGCTCTACACAAAGTGCCCTGCAATCAGGCATGGGAAACCCCTACAGATCAGTCAATCTTTTTAACATATAGGCAAAAAAAGGTCTTAGAACTGTGTTCTTGTATGTGAGGGGGCAGTGTAAAGAAACTCCCGGCACGACTGCCCATTACTGTAGATATGAAATAGAGGGGCAGGGGGCTAGGGAGGTGGGAGAAAATTTGCACGAAGAGTGAGGATAGTGAGATGGTAAGAGATAGAGAATAAAGGAGGGAAGGAGGGAAGAAGAGAGAGAGAGAGAGAGAGAGAGAGAGAGAGAGAGAGAGAGAGAGAGAGAGAGAGGGGGAGAGANGAGGGAAGAAGAGAGAGAGAGAGAGAGAGAGAGAGAGAGAGAGAGAGAGAGAGAGAGAGAGAGAGGGGGAGAGAGAGAGAGAATAAGAACGCAGGGATAATGGAGGCTAGCAGGTTATAAGGAGAGTGAGTAGCTGGGGAGAGAGAAGAGCCAGGAGATGGGCATGGGGAGCCTGGAGGCCCGCATGGGCTTTGATATGCAGTCATTGGAACAGGTCAATGGAGCCATATGTCCCTTCTGCCAGAGGTAAGGAAAATGACTCCTTTTGGCAGATGGGAACCAGTTTCACAAGTTCCTGAGGAATGCTGGCTTTTATGCTGTTGCCAGAAATCCTATAGTCTAGCTTGAGTTCGTTTCTGGATACTTGGGCAGCCTGAGACCTAAAAGTTCTGGGGTGTGGGGTTGCTTCTAGCAACCAAACTAGATCTTGTCATGATGCTCCAATTAGTTCGCAGACCCAGTCCTTTACTGTAGTAATTCTAGGGCTTTGATAGCATTTACATGGTTGTTTTCCTTGCAGTGGTTTTACTGCGCGGCGATCTGCGCATGAACTTAAGCACGGTACAGCGTTTTTGTAGTTCTTATCTCATTTCCACTTTAACAAATAAACCCTGTGGCTCCACCAGTAAAACGTCAGCTCCCCTCCCACCCCCTTTCCCAAGTTAGCCATGTTTTTATTAGGTTAATGCTGAACCCACCTATTCGTCACGAAGAGCTGGCATTTGGGGCCGCATTTGCTCCTTGTCTCATGTTTGTTTGTAAAGTTCATTGTGTGGTTTCTAATATGCTTTCTGGGTTAAACATTTCTAAATTTCAGGTAGTCAGAATGAGTCAACCTCGCAGAGCAAGGAGTATATGATAAACAGCAAAAACAGGCTCTCACAGTTCCCCAGGCAACGTATAACATGGTAACCGTGAATATTTTACAGACAATATGTCACAGCCTCAACAATCTGGGAAAGAAGGAAGGGGAAGAACTAGGACCCTCATGGATCCAACTCCCCAGCCCCCCTCTTTCAATGTGGGGTCAAGTTTCCAAGAAAAGCTACATAATGGTGTCATCCTAGCTGGTCTTTGCCCTCCCAATATATTTGCTTTACGTAATTTGCTGAATATTCATGAATATTAATATGAATAAGACATGTGTGACTATTAAATACACCTGGTAATCAGATTTCTCTGAGTTTTTCTCAAATTCATTTACTCTTTGTGATGGTGTGTGTGTGTGTGTGTGTGTGTGTTTGTGTGTGTGTGTGTGTGTGTGTTGAATACCATGGATGGTACTGGTGGAGACCAGAAGAGAGCATAGGATCCCCTGGAGCTGAAGTCATAGGAGGTTGCAAGCTGAGAACTGGACTTGGGTATACTAAAAGAACAGCAGATGCCACCGAGCTCCAAGTCAGATCTTCAGCCCCTGAGCTTCCTTTGAGTAGACAAAAGCTCTCATGTCAGGAAGACTTGGAGACTTTTATGATGATGCTGGCGGTTAGATACACGAAAATCTCCAAGGAAACTCTCCTGTCAAGTATTAAACTGTGATAATGGCTGACACACACTTTCACTCTTTCCCTGTGACTTCTTCCTCTTTTTAACAAAGTGATTCATGGCTCCTGACGTGTGCACAGGTGGTTGAAGTTTACAATGTGATTTGCTGGCTGTCATTCAGCTGGCCGCTGTATTTATGATAGTTCTCAGATAGTAGATCACAGACTAGAATTGTTTTCTTGTGTAGAATGATTTTTCTTTCCTGTTTAATGGGGCTTAGTCATACACAGAGAAGGGTAGCTGCGAAGGTTTGTGTGGTATTCTTAGCGCTCCGTCACTAGTTCAGGAAACAGAAAATCCACCAAAGTGAATACAGCTCTTTAAAATGTATTACCTCTCCCAGTGGCCAAAGTTGAAATAATTTTAAAAGCAAAATAACACAGGGTGGGAGATAATACAAAACATGATGTTGTGGGATAATCTTTTTGTACACTGTGGAGATGTGTCTCTGCCAAGGCTCCTTTTGATTGATTGAATGAAGAACAGAATGACCAATAACTAGGCAGGAGAGGATAGGCAGAACCTTCAGGAAGACAGAGGAACTCAGAAGAAGAATCTGAGGAGCAGAGATTTTGCCAGCAAGATATGGAGGAAGTCGGACATACAGTATGAAGCAGAGATAACGAGTCATGTGGCAGAATGTAGATTAGTATAAACTGGTTAATAAATTTTAAGAGATAGTTGGGAACAAGCGTAAGCTAAGGCCAAACTTTCATAATTAATAAGAAGTCTCCATGCTATTTTTTAAGAACTGGCGGTCCAAAGAAAATCCAACTACAGCACAAAACAAATATTCATGAATTCATGATGATACAAATAGATGATTGAGTAAATGAATGAGAGAGAAAAGATAATTCTCCTTGGCAGAAGAATAGTCAACCTTCAAGGAGGTGAAATCCCAACTCATAATTCTTCAAGTGTGGGTTGAGCATAGTAACTGCCATTTCAAAAGGGCAGTGTGTGTGTGTGTATATATATATATATATATATATATATATATATATATATAGAGAGAGAGAGAGAGAGAGAGAGAGAGAGAGAGTAAATTCACAGTGAAAACCATGATAGACAGTGCTGTACTCTGGAGGTCAAAGCCAATACCAACAGTGATAAATCACCTTGTAAGTGTGAACCTGTTAAGGTCTGATTCTTGTGTGTCCCTTAACTGCTCATGTGTTAGAATCTTGGTGCCCAGCGAGGAACTCCTGGAAAGTGGTGAAGCTCAGCCAGAGGGCTTTAGGTTATTGGGATCATTTTTGCAAAGGTTAATGTGGGACTCTGTAGTCTTCTTGCTCTTTTTATTTTTTGACAATTGTATGCTAACTTGTGATGGGCCCCAAAAATCACAGAGCCAATTGATTTTTGTGGTATATTTAATTGAACTATGCTACTCCAAGACTGTGTTAATAATAAAAGTTAACCTTGAAGGGGGTGGTGCCAGTGACTAGCTGACCAAAATTAGCCATAGAGAAGCCATAAATACAGATAGAGAAGATGCACAGGAAAGAGTAAGGAGGGACTTAGAGATTTCATAGTCTCTTTGATCTGGGAAGTGTGGAAAGAAGGTGCTTTTAAAAAGGCTATCACCTCCTCAAAAGAGAGAGCAGATGGACAGGAGCCAGCTGTTTTGAAAGATCAGCAATAACAGTGACTCAGATTCCCAATGTGGGCTCCCTCTAGTCTGTTGGTGTCTCACTTTGGAGCAGATGGCCACAGTTTGTGTGACCCATGAAGACAAGACATTTCCTTACCGGAGTACTAAGACTCCAGGAGCCCTCAGGCCAGACCTGGAGACCACAGGCCAGAACGTGTGACCTACATATCTGGAGTCCATTACAGCAGGATCATCTCAAGAGCCTTTAAAAACCAGGGTTTCCCTAAGTCTCATACGGTGGCCTCTGAACCAACTGGGCTCTCCTGTCCCCTTTGAAGAGGCTGAGAAACTGAAGTACAGTGCAGAAAACCTCAGACCTGGGGTGAGAACACCTGGGTTAGGCACTCCAGAACCCTGAGCATCTAAAGTCCCTTGGATTCCTGAGGCATCAAAACTGCCCCTACATCTATGGGAATGATGAACAGAGTTCTGCCTTCAAAGTGGCAGATGGCCCTTTCCCACCTCAGAACCTATCCCAGGTCCAATTCTTATCATATAAATGACCAGAATCAGGTCAGAACGTGATGTGGTTAAAGATGTATCTGCCTTGGCAAGTGAGGAAGGGGGCTACATGCTGTTGAAATAAGAGCGGCGGGGCTGCGTCCCCAGCATCCCCAGCACCCCGGCCGCTTGGCTAGCTTATGCCCGAAATAACAACACACAAACTGTATTCATTTAAACACTGCTTGGCCCGGCTAGTTCCAGCTTCTTATTGGCTAGTTCTTAACATATTGTTCTAACCCATTTCCAAGGTGCGTTTACCGGGAAGATTCTAACCTACGTCCATCCTGGGTCTGAGCTTCATGCTTCTGCCTCAGAGTGCAGAGCTATCGTGTCTATGCGGCAGAGCTGAGCATGGCGTCTCTGCTCCAGAGAGCAGGGCTGTCAGGTCTCTCCGGGAGCAGAGCAGAGTCTCTCCGGAAGCAGAGCAGAGTCTCTCCGGAAGCAGAGCAGAGTCTGACCTCACTTCCTCTTCCGCCCAGCATCCTATTCTATTTACTCCTCCCACCTATGTTCTAACCTATCAGGGCCAGCCAAGCAGTTTCTTTATTGCTCAATGACCTTCCTCCATCAACATGCCAACAAAACTGTGGAACTAGCTAACATGCACCCAGAAGCTGAAGAAGTGTGTGTAGAGTAGGACCTTGAGA